TTCTTTCGACGAAATTTTCAAGTAGATCCTGTTTCAAAGTGATTATGGAATAAATGGTTGTCAAAAAACGTGAAGACGCACATTAACACGTTCAGACATATGGTCAGATACGTATATAACACACATGATGTATCTCAAATGAACGTCAATTAAAGATGAAAAAACAATTCTTTTGACCATCTGCCATTGTCTCGGAGCTTCAATGTTTGATATAAAAAGCCCAAACGATGATGACCGGAACAATAAAGTAGCTTTTTTGATGGATTGCTGTATTGAAATGGATTGACCAGTGGTGAGTGTTTATAAACGCCATATGTTTCTGACCACTCGACTGGCCAAACCATGACTCACAAGGCTCTCAAACATCAAAACATCGTTATCGTAAATACATAAATAAGAACGAACATCGGAATCCGTGACTTTGTGAAACAGCCCGTCCAAATGATCTCTGAGAACTTGTTAGTAAATAACAAAACATAAACGCAGCAATAGGCCACAGCTGTGGTATAGTGGTCAAGTAAGCGATGTGAAATCGCTTTGAAGTGCCGAGTGTTTTATGGTGTTTGAAGCTGACCGTAAATACTTCAGACTACGTGGCGTATGGTTTGGCTTTAATTAAAATAAATAGAAAACCTGCGATGATTTTGACACAAAAAACAATATTGACGAAATTATAACAAAATAAAACTTCACATTTTCAAGGGGGGGGGGACCGTCCCACCAAACTATCTATATTGTAGGGAGAGACGAAATGAACGAGTGTTATTTATGAAATTGTACTGCTTTGATTGCTTATAAAGTACCAAACAAATGTACTACCTTAATTGTTCGCGAAACCAATTGATTCCGTTCTGAATAAAAAAAAATTGCTGTCACTGTTGGAAAACCAGACAACATGCTCCAGTAGTTAACGAATGATTGAAATATGTTATGTTATTCAAGAAATCACACAAATGCCTTCGGTGGATTAAAAGAACTTTTCTGTTTGATGAAAAACTAGATAAAAAGTAATCATATACTTTACAGAACTACACTAAACTGATGAAGAAACAAATGGAAACATGCCAAGATGTTTGAAAGACAAGTGAAAACATCAATTACTGTTACGTTTAAGGACCTAAACGACAATTGCACAATCATTATGCAGCAGGACTGAACGCCGTGGATGATAACTCTTATGTTCCCTCCAGCACGAACTAGAATTCATTACAATAATTACCTAGGTGAGCAGGTGTTAATAGTGAAATTTGTCACTCAAGTGTAGAACATAATTTGTGTTAAATCTTAATGTGACCGGCTGGCTTATCAGACAGATAGTTTAATTGCGGTCACCTTAGTGTCAGAATCATGCCGTGAAACATTGGCTGGACATGCTCTCCACCATGGAGACATTAACTGGTCACGGTTTAATTGTAGATCAGTAGAAGACACTTTCCCTATCAGAATTAGATTATAATTGCTTTAGGATAAACTGTAAGATCACAGCAAATAGAGTCAGTCCTGGTGTGGCCGTGGAAGGAGTAACTTGTTAAGCTCGATACTCAGGCCATACATGTTATCATTGTTGTAACTTGTGTTAATACTCAACATTTGTACTTGAGAACGGTTGTTGCTGGTCTTTTGTATAACATAAGGATAGTACAACATAGAGGGGTAACATATTCTGGTGGCAGCGGTAAAGGATCATTCTAAGGAGAAGGACTCCGTTATCAAAGATATAACGCTCATTAGAACTGTTCAATATGTCGACGACTGAAGAAACGGAAACTGCGAAGATGACGGCAGCACAAACAAAGTTGGAAATAAGAAGACTCGAAATTCAAGCAGAGAAAGAGGAAAAAGAACGCCAAATGAACTTAGAAAAAGAAAAACTTCAAGCAGATGAAGAGGGAACGCCAAATGAATTTCGAAAGAGAAAGGATGACGATGGAAGTTGAAAGAGAAAAGATGAGAATGGACGAGAAAGGAAAGAGAACATCAAAGGGAAGTGGAAAGAGAAAAGATAAGAATGGACGCCGAAGAAAAGGAAAGAGAACATCAAAGGAAAGTGAAAGAATTGGAACTAGAGATTGAAAAAGCAAAACTTCAAAAGGAACGGTGTGAGACAAATTCTAACCCTGTGCCGTTTAGACTGAAACTTCAACCTTATAATCATACTGAAAGTGAGGATATAGTGACATTCTTATCAGAGTTTACTGCTTTATCAACACAGGCTGGATGGACAGAAGAAGTAAAAATGCTACAGCTGAGAGCCTTGTTAACAGGTGAGGCCAGAGAGGTAGCTATTCAAGCACACGGGTCATTTGAAGAACTTTGTAAAGCCCTAATGGACAGGTACGGGAAAAGGCCCTACCAATATTTCAAGCTATTACAGACAGCCCAAAGGGAACCTAAGGAAACATACAGAGGACTTATGGCAAGAATTGAACAATATCTTACTAGATTTGTGGACTCAGTAGAGGATGTCATGGAAAAATTCAAAGAGGAATATTTTCTTAGTGCATTGCCAGTGTCACAAGCACAATGGATACGCCGTAACAAAGGGTCAAGCAGTGTGGTTGAAGCCGCAGAGGATTATATTCTACCTGAACGGAATATAAACAAATCAACGCAAGGTAAAAGTATAAATGGAAAAACTTTGCCTCTGATCGGGACCAGAGAAAGGAGCAATCGAGGGAGCAAATGAAAAGTGTGCAGTGTTACAATTGTAACAAGTACGGGCACTTCGCGAGGAAATGTCCAAAAAATAGAGAAGGTAAAAATCTTGCAGGATTTTTAGTGCAACAATACACGGGAGGACTTATCCATGTCCCAGGAGAGGTCAGTGGCCGTGATATTAGTTTCGTGAAAGACACTGGGTCAGCGATGACCTTGATTAGGGAAGACCTGGTGGACCCAAGTTGTGTATTGGAGGGTCAGCAAGATACGATGTGTACAGCGACTGGACAGCCGTTTTCAGCCAAACTGGCTATCGTTGATATGGACACGCCATATTATAAGGGACACACTCAAGTCGGATTAGTGCCTGACCTTGTCGCTGAAGCCCTGTTGGGGGTAGACATAATAGAGAGACAATCAAAGGCTGTGAATGTTGTTACGCGTGCACAACTTCGTAATTACATTGCTGAAGATAGTCTAGCTGAGGACAAGGCAAAGGAATGCCATGTAAAAGTTGGAATGGACCCTGACACGGACCAAGTGGATGCCAGTAAGGGAAGTGATGTTGGACAGGCGAACGATGTGGACCTGGACCGTGGCGATGACGTTGGTGAGGACACTGACAACATCAGTGAGACTGTATCTCACAGCAATGGGGGTGATACAGTTAACATCACAACAGAGGAACCACTTGAACTTTCTGCTGTAAATGCTGAAGTGCTTAGTAAGCTTCAGCAGGAAGATCCAACTTTAGCCAACATTCGGAGAAAAGCTGCAAGTTCAGAGGAATCTGTGCAGGAAGATAGGAATGCCCTGTACTGGGAAAATGGTATTCTCCGTAGGAAATGGGAGTCTAGTGATGGAACCCAACATGGAGTCCAGGTAGTACTACCAGAGGCACTACGTCTCAATATCATTAAATTGGGACATGATAGACCACTTGCGGGACATTTAGGGATAGAAAAGACCAAAGAGCGTGTCGTTAATTCTTTCTATTGGCCAGGGATTTTTAAGGACATACAGGAATACTGTAGTACTTGTAACGTATGTCAAAAGACTGCCAGAAGACGTGGTGACGAGAAAGCTCCATTAGGACAACCACTGATCATCAGTGAGCCATTTTACAAAATATCTATGGATGTTGTTGGGCCACTGTCTCGAACAAAGGTGGGGAACAGGTTTATTCTTACCATTATGGATGACGCAACAAGGTACCCAGAGGCTTTTGCATTAAAGAATGTGGACGCAGAAACCATAGCTAACACATTGGTGGAACTGTTCAGTAGGGTAGGAGTGCCTCGTGTTATTCTGACAGACCAGGGCACAAACTTCACCTCAAAAATGATACAAGAACTCTACCGTGTGATGGGAATCAAGGGCATAACAACATCGCCATATCACCCACAGGCTAATGAGAAGGTAGAAAAATTTAATGTAACTCTCAAAGCTGTGTTAAAGAAACTCTGCACGTCAAATCAGGAAGCCTGGGACGAGCTGTTGCCATATGCATTGTTTGCATATAGGGAAGTACCCCATGAGGAAATGGGATTCTCACCATTTGAGATGCTCTATGGATGGCCGATCAGAGGGCCATTACAGATTTTAGAGCAAGCCATGACAGGCGAAGGGGAGCTTAGAAAATCTGTCATTGACCATGTTGTTTAGATGAGAGAAAAGCTCGCAATGGTTAGAGAAACAGTACAGGAAAACCTGACAATCAAACGGCAAAAGATCAAAGAGTGGTACGACAGGAACGCCACAAAACGGGAACTTCGACCTGGGGACGAGGTTTTACTATTACTACCATCAGACACGTCAAAAATGGTCGCCCAATGAAAAGGACCATATAGGGTCATAAGGAAAGTCAACAACATCAGCTATGAGGTCAATGTTGGATGACGTCGTAAACGAGTTGTTTATCATATCAACCTACTACGGAAGTACAATAGAGCTGTCCAAAACGTCATGTTTGTCGAAAAGGTTGACATCGCCGATTCTGATTTTGACAGTTCTAATTCAACATTGGAGGTAACACTGGATGTTACACTTGGCAAAATGTTAGATAAGTCACAGCGCCAAGAAATCCGTCAGCTTTGTCAAGAATACAGTGATGTCATAAATCCTGATGCGGGAAAACCATTGTTAGTTACGCAAAGCCTGAGGACAACGTGTGAGAAACCAATCCGACAACAGTCATACAGAATTCCTCAAGCCAAAAAACAAGAGGTGAAGAAATTGTTGGATGAAATGATAGAGCGTGGTTATATAACACCTTCCTCAAGTGCATACTCATCTCCAATAGTTTTGGTGGAAAAGAAGGATACTACAACTCGGCTTTGTGTGGATTACAGGAAACTCAACGACGTAACTGTATGTGACGGGTACCCAATACCCAGGGTGGACGAGATATTTGAAAAGCTAGGCAAAGCTCAATACCTCAGCACTATGGACCTAGCAAAGGGGCAGCATTCGTAACTGAATTTGGACACTTCCAATTCAAGGTAATGCCTTTTGGTATGAAAACAGTGCCTGCTACATTTGCAAGGATGATGGACAGACTGTTAGCAGGAGTAGAACATGTGGTCGCTTACTTTGATGCTATAGTGGTATACAGCGACACATGGAAGGAACACCTTGAACATATCAAGACTGTATTGCATAAACTTCAGGAAAGTGGATTAACAGTAAAGCCATCAAAATGTCAATTTGGTGAAGAGGAACTTTACTGTCTGGGACACATTGTTGGGAAAGGAAAGCTTAAACCAGATAGTCGGAAGGTTCAAGCCATGGTTGACGGCCCCCTCCCACAAACCAAAAAAGGGATTAGGTCATTTCTAGGTATGACTAGTTACTATCGGCGTTTCATTCAGGATTATGCCAAGATATCGGCTCCATTGACCAACATGCTAAGGAAAGACAAACAAAGGCAACCCAAATGGACGGATGACATTGTAAATGCATTCAACCAACTAAAGGATGAGATGATCAAGGCACGGGTACTAGCAAATCTGGATTTTTAAAGAGCCCTTCTTCATTCAGACTGATGCCAGCAACGTGGCTATTGGAGCGGTCTTAAGTCAGAATATCAACGATAAGGAACACCCTATTGCATACATCAGCAGAAAGTTACTGCAGCGGGAACAAAATTACTCTACAGTGGAGAAGGAATGTTTAGCTATCGTTTGGAGTGTGGAGTCATTCTCCTATTATATTAGTGGTGTTCACTTTACCATTTTGACTGACCACAATCCACTTAAATGGCTTGATAAGACCAAGCAAAAGAATCAGAGACTGTTAAGATGGGCACTGGCATTACAACAGTTTCATTATGCAATCAGATATCGAAGGGGCCAGGAAAATGCAAATGTGGACGGACTATCCAGAATTGAATAAATAGTGTATATATTTTGAAAAAAAAAAGACGAACACTAACTCTGGATGTATCGTCAGTTATTGCGATGTGTTTTAAGGTTTTGTGATGTGTATAACTTCAGAACAAACAGTGACATTCTAACAGAAGTACCTTATCCACGGAAGTTAACAGTATCTGAATCAGATTTATGAACTGTGTTAATTGTAGAATTTAGAATTAACTGTTGTTCAAGTAAACTTTACCAGTGTTTGTGTACATACTAGATATTATCTCAGCCTGAGTATCATGAGCAGATTGCTATCTCTTGAACTTTTAGACCGTAAAAGTTTTCTTAGGCAGGGGGATGTTAATAGTGAAATTTGTCGCTCAAGTGTTGAACATAATTTGTGTTAAATCTTAATGTGACCGGCTGGCTTATCAGACAGATAGTTTAATTGCGGTCACCTTAGTGTCAGAATCATGCCGTGAAACATTGGCTGGACATGCTCTCCACCAGTGAGACATTAACTGATCACGGTTTAATCGTAGATCAGTAGAAGACACTTTTCCCTATCAGAATTAGATTAGAATTACTTTAGGATAAACTGTAAGATCACAGCAAACAGAGTCAGTCCTGGTGTGGCCGTGGAAGGAGTAACTTGTTAAGCTCGATACTCAGACCATACATGTTATCATTGTTGTAACTTGTGCTAATACTCAACATTTGTACTTTAGAACGGTTGTTGCTGGTCTTTTGTATGACATAAGGATAGTACAACATAGAGGGGTAACACCATGCAATAGCTAAAAGTAATCGTCCCTTAACAGATTATATATGGCTTTGTTATATTGACGGAACCAAACAGATAGACATTGGCAGTCTCCCAACTACAACTGTTGAAAACATGTAGACGCTCTCGTGTGGGATCAACATTGCTGAATGACCATATTATTGTGAAACTGTAATCCCCAGAAATTATGGAGTTTAATCCAGATGATGCCATCGACACCTGGCTGGTAAGTTTCCTGAAATAACTCTAAATCAGTTGTAATAGATCATTTACAGTATCATAAGAGTAGTGGATATAATTGTAATTACAAAAAAAGTCACAAAAATGAGCCTACCGTTTTGATGTTAGTTAAGCACTTATACTTTGAAGTTATTGTTAGTGTTGTTAGATTTTTTTTATATAATTTAACTTTCAGGTGATTAAATTACATGTACTTAATTTTGTACAATACTGATATTTTAGGCTGGATCTGTGATGGAAAGAAGAACAACATACAGACGCAAGGAAAAGAAGGTGACTCTAGAATCACAACAATCTGTTGTCATTCAGTCTGAGTTTGATACTGAAGATGTCCAACAAAGATCAGGGTCACAAGATCCTCAAGTTAGTCAAGAGTCAGATGACAGGAGGAGGAGGATGTCACCGAGCCAACTTGAAGTTTGGTATCTCTGAGACACAGGAGGAAGTTACTAAAGTGACAGAGTCTTCTTATATGTCCCTTGAAAGGGGCATTAACATTCTGTGCAATAAAGATTCTGATCCAGATATTGAAGAAGAGTGCTTTGACTTTCAAGATGAACTATTAAACTTTGATAAGTTAATGGAACTCAGCAGAGAATAAATATGAATGTAGAAATAGTTTTGACAAGAAAGCAAATGAAAAATTAAAGAAATGTGACAAGTTTTCTTTGTTTTTGTTTAATATCGTTCGGTGTGACAGATTTCGTTTCGGTCTGACAGTTTTTCAGGGTATGTCCGACCGATTACTGGGATTTAGGGCTTTATTCAGATAATTACCTTGATCCACTTTCACTGGATTGTATGGTAAAATGTTTTCAAATGAGCAAAAGACCCAAGATTTTGTCATTTCAAAAAGTAACAGAGAGAAAAGAATTCAGGGTTGAATAAAGAAAGTTTCTTTATTGTCCTTGTCCAGATATGTCTTTTCTTCATTAACTCCTGAAGAATTGAGTAATTACTACATAGCCATTGGCCTCTTGTTTCACATATTACACATGTATAAAAGATATTGTTGGTGATCGACTAACTAAACATGCTGCTACCTGATTTGATCTTTATAAACCATGATAATATTTACTTGCAGCCTCAGTGTCGGAGACCTAGAAAAATCTTAACAAATAGAGAAAAACGTGTTTCTGCTGTTTTAGAGAAACTCATCTATGTGATCAAGGTTCTATTAATTAAATCAAAGCATGCTCCACTGTCTGGGTGATAGAGGTTGTAACACTACAAGCTGAAGTGAAATCTCTTTATTCATGAAGATGAAAGCCATCAGCTTCATTTTGAATCTACCCGAAAAGAAACCTTTGTGAGATGTCGGCAATTTTCAAAATGTGGCTTTTTTGCCAATTTTACTTTTGACATGGTAGAGCCCTCATGCTAGAGATCCAGGTTCCTGTCTGGACAATGGGCAGGAATTTGCATGTGGTCAAAATATAGAACAATCTTCCGGAGTATATTGTATCTGCACCAACAGTTAACTCTTTCAAAAATAGATTAGATGATCTCTGGGCAAATCAAGAACTGGTATATAATTATAAAGCAGAAATTCTGTAGTTCCTGGATCTGATGTCTCAAATGACAATAATTATAAACATTATCATTGTATCACTGAGACCGGTATAGAGGATCGTAACGATCCTGCACTGGTAATAAACTAAACTAAACTAAGGAATGTGTTTTATTTCTTCTTTCACTCTTCATTAATCTACACATACAATGTTAATTGTATAAGAACAGAAGCATATCCCAAACCAAACAACTTTTAAACAGATTTCTCTACACTGGCATTAAGGACAAACTGATTAATCAACACTTCATTGTATTTGAATAAAAATGCAACATCAGTTTAAGGAGTGGACACAACTGTCAATTTAACAAAATTAAAAATTTACATTATTGATTGAAATGTGTTATCAGAATAGTTAGTTTAAACAGTAGATAGCACATGCAAGGTCTTAGGTAGAATATATGAAAGAAGTAAACAGGTTTTGGGTCAGTTGTCTGACTAGATCAGTTTTTTCTTAGAATCCTATTTTGTCCTAAGCCCCCTCCCCAATCCTCCACAACCACCAATATACCTATATACCTATATCATTTGATAAATAGTTACAAATATTTACCTTGGTTTCAAATAGATTTGTAGTTTTGTTTCATGTATCAATCTTTTTTAGTGCATGAGGGCGGTGTGGCCGGAGTATCAAGACCGATGTACAATGGCTTAAAAGATGCATTCCTACAGATCATTCGTAAAGATGGGGTCACTGGAATGTATAGAGGAGTGGTACCAAATGTTTGGGGAGCTGGAACGTCCTGGGGGCTCTACTTCTTTTTGTAAGTGAACTGATATCTTGATACAACTCATGAGTTTATCAGTAGGGGCTTGGAAGTGCCATATTAATGTAGCTACTGTAAAAATGGAAGTATTTCAATTTCTTAAAAAATGAATGTCCTGTTGAAAGATAGGTACCTCAATTTCTTAATTATTAATATTCTCTGAATGTCTTATTAAATGATACATAACTAAGTATACGTAATGTAGTTGAGATACATACCGTAACTCAGTTTGATAAATGAGTTCAGGTAATAGAGCCAACGCCGTTCATTAAAGTTGGGTGGTTTGTAGGTTCCTCCACTCCCCAGCTGGATACCTCAGGTATGCAGGGTGATTGAGCAAGAGAGAAAATCCGAATCTAAGTATCAATCACAACAGTCTGCAGAGTGATTGTTCTTAATATTTATTATTCAATACCGTCTACCGGTTTCGCCCTCCCGGGCATCTTCAGTTATAATAAATATAAAGAACAACCACTCTGCAGACTGTTGTGATTGATACTTATATTCAGTTTGATAAATATGCCAAAACAGTTTTTATACTCCGCCAGATGCGATCGTATATTGGCGTCATCTTCTCCCTCTGTCCATCCGTACATCCATTTCTTGTGAGCGCAACTCCTCCTAAACTAATCATCAGATTTTCATGAAACTTGCTCAATGTCACTACTACAATGGGTAGATATGCATGAAGGGGCAATTTTTTGGTTCGTTGATTTTTGTAAGATTTATGCCATTTTCAACTTTGTATCTGTAGCTTGTTCATAGTGGAGTCTTGTGAACGCAACTCCTAAAATAATCATCAGATTTTCACGAAACTTTCTCAATGTCACTACTACAATTATAATGGGTAGATGTGCATGAAGGGGCAATTTTTTGGTTCGTTGATTTTCGTAAGATTTATGCCATTTTATCTTGATCTTAAATTTTGTGGCAGCGTATATTGTGTCCAACAATAAGTATTAAACAGAGTGATGATCATACATTTACAGTTACAACAGCATTAAGACTTGGATGCAGGATGGTGACACTCAAGTGAACCTTGGTCCAGCTAAACATATGCTGGCTGCATCTGAAGCAGGTATGTATAATGAAAAGTCCCAGATTTTGGTTGCCTTTTGAAACATGTCAAACCAAGTAGTTTAATGTAGGTATGTGGTATTATATGTATAAGGTATAACAGGTGGAGTAGTACATCCACATACGAGTCGGGATTTCTGTGTTCAAATATTGTTCTCCTTTAAATTATCCAATAGGATAATAATAACAACAACCATTAACTGTATTTTTACAGTGACAGAGGGTACCGCATGATTTATTGCCACATAATTTAGTATTTAACAGAAACATGTATTGTTCTTCATAAGCACGCGCAATTTGCTTTTATTTGAAAACTTCAATGATTAAATACTGTTTTTAACTTAATAGCAAACGAAATTATCAAAATTCATTTCAATTGATTTTTATTAAAATTCTTCCCACAAAACTTAATAAGCATAGAGGAAAAAATTCTTACACCTACGCAAAACAAAAAAAAATTTGCGTGTGCACCGCGCTACCCGAGTCGCCTGAATGACGGACCCGGGTACCAGGACACATGTATTAGCACGACCCGCACGTGCTAATACACAACACGCCACCTATTGGAAAAACATAACACGGAGAAATTCATTTCATCCTTATTCCCCAGTCAAACGGATGAAATTATATTTCTCCTTTAAATTATCCAGTAGGATAATAATAACAACAACCATTAACTGTATTTTCACAGCGACAGAGGGTACCGCATGAAGAATAAAGAACGGGGAATGTCTCCCAAAAGTACTAGATACGCCCCCAAACAGATTATAGGATCCATTTAGGAAAGTCACAAGTTCAGATGCCTAGAAACATTCAACCGTTCATGAAAATTGTCTTCAATATACCAGTCCTTCGCCGTTTCTGATCTCCAGCGCCCGTGGCGTTTAAACAACAATACCAGCGTTGGCACCAGCTGAAGCTCCTCCCGCATGAAGGCTGTGTAAACCAAACTTCTTGATATCCGGAACCACTGAAGAAAACGCCTGAATGAAATGCTCTCTGAACCTCGAATACAACATAGGCTTATTAAGCTTCCTGAGCACATAACTACCAGTTTCCAACATAGTAAGGTTCCTAAACACAAACTCCCCAGAATCATCCGATATACCAGCCAGCTTCACATACAGCTCAAAATTACATACCGGACACAACCGCGATCCAGTCCTACTAACGATTATCCAAGAACCGTCCCGATATACATCTGTCTTTGAATGTTCAATGAAAATTTCCATGTGTGAAGTGCGTATCTGTATATCAGACCTCCTCAATGCAAGTACCTCTGCGTTCCACATAAAACCTGCGTAAGCAAACAAACACATGGTAATGATTCTCTGGTTATACAAATTATTTTTATCAAACATCTTATCATATACAGCATTAAGCATTGATATAGTTATTGCCTGTTTTTTCTGCACTGGCTTAGCTAACAACCTTTTTGCCCCTTCAAACACATTCCGTACTAATGTAGACACAGTAGGGAATACTTTCCCAACAATATCATGAGCCCACTTAACACCATACATAGCGTCCGTTAAAGAACCAGTCGTTCCATTGTTCTTCACCAAATATGATATATATATACACAGATGAAAAGGTTTCACAAGGAAGATATATTCTTCCTCAAAATTGTTCTCCTTAGCCCACTTTCTCCAACGTAAATATCCATAGCAGTACTTCCTAACCGTACTCTCAGCTTTACAATGCTGAAGTAGCTCAGGTACACCCAAAGCGTAATCCTTAAGGTGATCCGGAACCATAGAACATTCCTCTCTCAACACTGACGTCACTAATCGTGAAAAAGGAAAACAAAAACAACAAATTAAAATATATACAAATTCCAGTGGAAAGTAAGTTACCCTTATGAACCCAAATCACATATACTAGACAATTAAATTCATTAATGACATTCACAAAACCACCACAAAACCCAGCAACACACTGCTGTAACTGACAACACACTGTCAGTCCCCTGCTAAGCAACAGGTATACACCAGCAACACACTGCTGTAACTGACAACACACTGTCAGTCCCCTGCTAAACAACAGGTATACACCAGCAACACACTGCTGTAACTGACAACACACTGTCAGTCCCCTGCTAAACCACAGGTATACACCAGCAACACACTGCTGTAACTGACAACACGCTGTCAATCTCCTGCTAAATCACAGGTATACACCAGCAACACACTGCTGTAACTGACAACACGCTGTCAGTCCCCTGCTAAACAACAGGTATACGCCAGCAACACACTGCTGTAACTGACAACACACTGTCAGTCCCCTGCTAAACCACAGGTATACACCAGCAACACACTGCTGTAACTGACAACACACTGTCAGTCCCCTGCTAAACAACAGGTATACGCCAGCAACACACTGCTGTAACTGACAACACGCTGTCGGGGTTCCTGCTAGACAACAGGTACACAACAGCAACACACTGCTGTTATTGACAACACACTTTCAAATAACTGCTAACCAACAGATATACCCAGCAACACACTGCTGTAACTGACAACACGCTGTCGGGGTTCCTGCTAGACAACAGGTACACACCAGCAACACACTGCTGTAAATGACAACACACTTTCAAATAACTGCTAACCAACAGATATACCCAGCAACACACTGCTGTAACTGACAACACACTGTAAAATCACTGCTGTAAACTACTGTAAACGTCAGCAATCGGTACCATCAACAAAAACTATTGTAATCTGTAATACTAGGTAATACACATTCTCAAAAAAAATAGAAACCCTAATAATGTTAAAACTAACAAATTATAGATTGGTATTCAGATCAGCGAAAATCCAAACGCAACGCTAACATCGGAAATTTCAAGTCTACATTTCCAAACATGCCTTTCCCCGAACGTGACAGGGTGTAAAAACACTTCTCAGTATTCAGGAATATATATTCTTGAACACCACCCATGAAATGTACACCATCTGGACATATGTGGGGCCAGAATCTAGCTGATTTCCAAAACGGAATAACCAGAGTACCGTGGGCCCCACACACTTCCATGTACTTGATTATTCTAGTTATCAAATACACCGGAGGATTAAACCATCCGTTTTTCCAGGCCCAGTCAACCGAGAATGCATCTATACCTTCCGATCCCGGATTCCAATACCTAGAATAGAATGACCAAACTTTCGCATTGTACCAAGATGCGAACCAGTCCACCACCTGTTGAAAAACAGAGACACTCACACCCCAGTCGTCAAAATCAACAAGTTTACTGATAAAATCTGCCCTTTCATATTGTTCTGTACCATTAAACGATATATATCCAGCGCTATGTCTTGTAAATTAGACTTCATGCTCCCCTTTTCTACTATTTTCACAACAGCCTGATTATCAGAGAACCATTTCACCCAGGAACCCCGGAGCACGTGTACCCATGACAACATGACCCTATATACTGCTGTCAATTCCCTGAACGTCGAACTTTGACCTGTCTCATAAGGAGACCACGTTCCGTGTGACACACCCAGCGATGACTCGACACAGTAGCCACCGTAACCCGTGGTACTGGTGTCTGAATAGACTATCCTATTACAGTGAGGGGTGTAGCAAAGTTCTCTGCCATTAATACAGTCCAAATGATTCAACCAAAACCGCATTTGACTCAAACATTCGTCGTTCAACATAATTCTATCATTCCAAGACTGCGCCTGTAACATACGTATCGAAATACACCTGGTCATAAGCTGTACGATATTACCAAACATGATACCCATAGAGATTATCTGCCCTACAAAACTGGACACAGCCTTCACATGGACTGGCCTTCCTTTGTTAACACACTTCAGGATATCCAAAACACAAGCACGTGCTTTTTCTATGCGACGATCTGATATCCTTAGAACTCCTAACAGGGTATCTATATCCACTCCCAAGAAACCCATACACACTGCACAGGATCCCACATAGATTTATCTATCTTCGGAATAAAACCAGACTGTATCAAATCACTTTTGACCTTAGAACTTTGGTCTACTAATTTTGACTTACAAATATTGTGACAAAGACCGTCATCTAAATACATTAAAATCTGGAGACCTTCACCTCTTCATTTTGCTATTAACGGTCTAGTAACTTTGGTACAACCATACGGCGCTGTTGACAATCCAAATGGTAAAACCAGGAATTTAAAATACACTTTGTCCGAACCAAAAGTCCACGAAAAACCAAGATATTCTGTATGTGGGGGAAATATGTCTATGTGGTGATAGGCCGAATGAACATCAAATTTAATAAGCCAGCCTTGCTTTACTGTAAATGCTAAAGCCGTTCTCAAATCATCGTACTTGTCCAACTGTTTCCAAAGATGCAAATTCACTTCTCTCAGATCTAATATTAAACGTTTCTTTCCGTTACTCTGTACCGAGACCGTTAATGGATTTACAACCAAAGGAACAGTATTACACCGTTCTACTAATTGACGTTTCTCCAAATGTAAAATTGCACTTTCAACGAATTCTTTGTTCCTTAATGCAGACAGGTTATTAACCTTTTCAGACTCATTTGGCGCCGAATAGAATGGTAATTTGTAGCCATTTTCAATAACATCTAAAACAAACTCTCAACTCCCTATAGCTTTCCAAAACTCAATATTCTTATTCAATCTGCCCCTCACTCTAATATCACTTTGGCCCTGTTCATACTCAAAATAATCATCCGTGAATAAAATGTCACCTCTACATGTAATATCTCCACTTGACTCTTCGATGTCACTAAAAATAAGATCATACTTATCTTTTAACACCTGTCCTTCTTTAGAATCGACCTTATCACAGGTTTCCGGTCTTAGGGGTTTGGGGGCACTCTCTCCGGAAATGCCCGAATTCACCACAGGCGAAACATGCTCGTGCTCCAGTGCTGTATTGGCCACGAAAAAGCTGCTTCCCAGGATTAATAATAGGACGAGTATAAGACTCCTGGCTTGCCGTACCCGCCGCAAAACTAGGCCTTCCATTGCTGCACCTC